GGGGGTTGGACCAGATGACCCACAGAGGTCCCTTCCAACCCCTCACATTCTGTGATTCTGTGAGATCAAACTCAGCTGCAGCTTAGAAAACATGCTAAATGCTAAACACGTTGTCAACATGAAAGGAGAAAAAACGAAGGCAAATGTAAAAAAACTTGTAACACACTTACTCAGTCAGACATTTGACTTGACAGACAAATGTTACTTTAGAGCAAGCTTTTTGTGCTCTCTTCTGGTTTAGTGGACAATCTCCGATCTGCAGAGTAATTTTGGTCCTAAAAGTTACTGAAATTGAAACTATGGGCAAGACAGCTCAGCCAACGTTTTCACGCTCACATAAGTTTCACCACTTGGTAGTCAAGGGCAGATCAGTTGACACCAAACAGCGATTTGGGGATCGGCGACCTGGGAAGCACGGGAGGGCTGACAGGGCACTTGCTTTGCTGTGTTAACTCTCCCTTGGCTGGGATCGGCTGGCTGCCCACCAGGACACCGCTGATACCTGACATGGCGTGAAAATGCAAGTACATGTTTTCTGGTCCGAGGGTGACCCTCGTTTATGTCACATCAGCCTGTATTAATTCTTCTGCCGCTCTGTGCTCCAGAGGTTTTCCACCAAGTTCTAGCAAAAACTGGTTTGCCTCAGACATAGGGAGGTCTGTGCTGGCAAGGAGCACTGGTGGAGCTCTGAAACCGTGCAGATGCCCAGGAGAGTTGGAAAATAAAAAGGACCAGAATAGTACTGAAGATGTCCCTGGATGTCAACACACGCTTAAAATACCAGCGACTGTTTACGAGGAAAAGCTCAATTCTCTTTTTTAGTCTCTGCTGAACTTTCAGCCCCATGGGACTGTTGAGCAAGAAGACAAGATAAGCCCTTGTATTATAAAGGGACTTTTGTCTGTGTGTTCAGAAGGTAGTAGGAGATGGGGGGAGGAAATGAGGAAGCCTGGTTGGAGGGGTTTACTGTCCTAGTTTTTTCTGAAAAGAAATGACACTGGGGGTTGTCTCACACTGCGCTGAGAAACGAGATTCAGCAATCGCTGAGCTAGCTGAGGCGGGCCCACGCGCTGCATCGCGTGTGAGCTGTGCACCGCGGAG